AAGTATATATATTCTTGATCAGCATCAATAGACGATTCGATAGAGCCATGTCTGTCAGTCCATCCGTCCGTCTTGTTTGTCGGCTAGTTCTCAGGTACTATAAGAGCTGGAGCCACCAAATTTTGGCTCCAGACTGCTGTATGCACACACTGAAACCAGTGTATTTCAAAAATTAGACCCGCCCCCTTCCGCCTGTGCAGAAGGGCGAAAACCTCCAAAACCTACAGTTTTGAAGACAAAAGAAAACTAAAAACGCCATTCCGTAGGGAATGACCAAATATATCAGATCACCAAATTGGGATCCGATTGGATCATTATTATTGCCACAATGGAGAAATTAATTAATTAATTTCCAGTGGCTAAACCCACCCTGTCCCGCAGCTTTTGTTGTTCTTTTTACATTCTCTCATTCACACTCTGCTTCTGCTTCACTCGGCCCCTGCCTCTGCCCTCCCCCTGTCGATGCCTCTACCGACTTTTAACCCACCCCGTCCCGCAGCTTTTATTTGTTTTGTTTTTTGTGTGCGGACGGTGCCTCTGCCACGAGTCTGCAGTGTGTGGGTCTAGGGAAGGGCGCCGAGCTAACGGAGCGTGTTGGTGTGAGAAGTGTTATAGATGTAGATGACAGATAAAGAAAAAATTTAAAATTTGACAAAACACCGCTAAGGTGCAGATGTAGTACTGAGTGCCGGGTATAAAAGTTGTGACTCGTAAAAAGCGTCTCACACGTCCCTTCTCGTTTTTCATAAAAAACAAATTAGTTAAAACTGTTTAACAATTCTAAAACTGTTTCTAATATTTTTCTTTGAACTGTCCGGATATGTACATATTAACTTTAGTAGCAGGTATTTTGGAAAACTCTTGAAAAGGCCAAGACTAAAATTCATAAGAAAGTTAAAGACACACTTTTCAACTGGTCTTCTCTCATTTATTTAGTGGGCTTTTCTTTTCTTTTCTTTTCACTGTCCAGACTTGTAACTTTCTGTTTTTTCTCTATCTGCCATGTTCCACTGTCAGCAGAGCTTGAAAATTTTGTATTTATGCACTTTGGAGCGCCAAAAATTCTCGGGCGGCACCTGTCAGTCATCACTCTGAGCAACGCAAAAACAGTTCGAGAGGAGCCCCAGTCAGTGGCAAGGCAAATGTCTGGGGATAGGCATGGAATGGAGGAGGAGCTGGAGCAGAGAATTCTGGATGGACAGTGGCGACTGACTGGCAGCCTTTGTCGTTGCGCATAGAAGGAAAACAAAATTTAGAAATATAAGGGGAATGGGAATGGTTGAATGGGAATGAATGCCAGGAAAAATGCCATGCCTCTTGTGAAGCCCTCTCTTGAATGGGGCTGACACACTTCGAGCTTTCGAGGAGGATGCTGAAGAGAGAAAACGGAAAGAGTAAGTAGTAAGTACTCGATGTATACTAATATATTGTGCTCCCTGTAATATAAAGTCAAGCGCGATACTGTGAGAAAACTTGATTCGATTCCATTAAATTTCCATTTACTCGGTACTCGAAGAGTGTATAGTTTTTGTATACACATATATCTGTATGTATATGTCAGTATTTTGTATTTGTGGGGAAAAAAATATTGAAGTACACTTGTGTGCGCATACAGTCATCTGGATGTCTCTGAGTCTCTGAGATACAGGCGCTCAACAAGACGATCGGATGGACGGACAGACAGACATGGCTAAATCAACTCGGTTATTGATGCTGATCAAGAATATATGTGGGGTCGGAAACGATTCCTTCTGTGTGTTACATTTTTCCCCACAAGTTCAATATACCCTATTTACTCTTCCAGTACCGGGTATAATAACTAAAATGACATTCAATATGTTAAATAGTTAAATTGCAACAAATTTAAAAATTAGTATCGGCACATTTTGGGAAAAACCGATTCCTATTTCATACCGCTACCCAAATTGTGGGATATGTATAAGAACATAAATGTACGGCAGAAAAAAAGTAGCTCTCCTTTAATCGGTCTTTGGGGCCCAAACCAAACTGTCTGCCACATCGTCTAAAGGTAACCATTTATATAATGAACTGATTTCAAATTTGTAATGTGCCAGCGCCCGCGAGGCGAATGCTGAGACTGGGGACGTCTCAAATGGACCTGCCTTTAGTCGACTTGTTGGCCTGTTCTCGTTCTGGCTCCCTTCATTGGTAATTACCAGGCACCGGTAAAACAACAGTTATGTGAGTTAAAAATAAAAATATGGAGTATCGAAGAGTCCGATAGAATAAAAGCGACAGAAAAGGAAAGAATGGGAAATGGTGTATCAAATAGAAAATGCTCTATAGTTTTAAGATTGATTTCGGGAATATAAATTCAAGGTCATATGTATGTAGTTGTATTTAATTCAAATAACAATCATAAAAATAACCCAGTAAACGCCTCTATCACACCAAGATGTGAACCTCATTTAGATAGATACATACATATGTATGGACATACATACATATATGTATTTATGTTCAACGAACGCTGAAGATTGCGTAGTTATCTCTTCTAAACTCTTCAAAAATATCATACACATTTCTTGTGAGGGTATACAAATAATACTTCAGTAGCGAAAAAAACAGTAAATTGAAACAAGTTTAAGAACTGAACCGACCAGTGCTGGTGCTGTGGTTATTGGTCACCTGTCCTCTGGTATCCACCCAAACATTCACAGGGGGAACCGAGGAAGGGACGCAATATGATTTGGCAACTTTTTTCCAGGCCTGCAACTCGTAAAAAGAAAAAAACTTCGCTAAACCATCTGCTCAGAGGCACCAGCAACAGCACCTCCAACCCAATCCATTCCACAAGTAAAACCCACCTGACTGGATGACTTTTTGTGGGTGTCTTTGGTGCGAGATTTTTTGCGGTGGCTTTGAAAATTGTTTTGATTTTTTTCTTCGTTTTGCAGCATGTTGATTCCTTCTTTTTGCTTGATAAAAAAGAAAGTTTACAAATTTTTAAGTCGTTTCATATTTTTAAATTTTTAACTCGTACATTACAAATTTGAGGAAGCAAGAAAAAGAGCTTGTGGTTACCGCGTTTTCGTTGGTCGTACTCACAGAGAAAATAACTCAACTGTGTTTGATAGAGTTTTGCTTTGTACTCTTTTGTCATTTGCTTATTTATTGCGCTGCTCATTGCGACTATATGGAAAAAGTTAATCCGACTATTTTCCTCAAAATTGGTTATTTGAATTTGTCAAGAAACAATTGGGTGTGCGGAAAATGAGGAAAGATTTGTGTAAATTTGCTATGGTATGGACATTCAATTAGTTAATTTAGCAACTCATACTTTAACGTTTTCTTTCCAATTCACTTCCCTTCCCTTGCCATACCTTTAAGTTAAGTGCTTGCTTCCTGTTTATTTTCCTTATTAACTTATTCAAAATTGCAGTTAGCTTATATAACATTCATATGTACTCAAACAAGTATGCATATACATACATATGTACATACGTATGTAACTCATCCAAATGTATCTAAAATTAGCTCACACGGGAGTAATAAATGAGAAAACGCTTCTGAAGCTAAGAGCCAAGAGGCCAGAATTCTTTTCGTGATTTCTACCCCTTTCTTGCTCATTATCTGTACTTACGCAAATTACACTACTCGACACGATTTTTGACTTTTTAACTTTTTATGAAAGATCTGGGACTTAAAATGATTTGATAATACTTTTTTTTCTATGCCAAAACTTGTTTTTAAAAAATTTGTAATATCTGGTAATTTTTTAACGCTTTCTTGAAAGGAAGTGCTTCTTTTTCACACAGCTCAAGTATATTTAATCTGGGTGTAATAAACTTAGTCATTATTTAAAGCTAATGAATGCATCTATACACACTTTGTGGTTTCAGCTTACCGTTTGGGAAACATTAAGCTTTGAAATGAAAAAAATATTCATTTTTGTGAGGGATTTTTTACGAAATATTGGATTAAAAAAAGTCTACTCTATTATTTTGTTATGAATAGGTGAATTAATATGGCGTCGTTTAAGGGTTTGCTCGTCAAAATCTATGGAGAGACGGCTGAGCTAAAATTCAAGCAACCATAATAAAAACCATAGTTCTTTGACAATTTTTAGAGCCCTCAGTCTATCAGAAAAAGTCGGTTTGGTTTGAAGCGGAAAAAAAAAAATTAGATTTTGTCGAGTAGTGTTATGGGAAACGAGTACAGCAGTTTTTGCCCTCGCTTGGAAAAAGTCAATGCTTATGCTAATTTCTTTCTGCCGCGAGCTTCCTTCTCTCCCCTCTTTGCAGCCCCACCCATTCGAATGCATTTTAATTGCACTTTTTCCTGCTTTTCCAGCAACTAATAACTGGCAATTTATTAAAATGTTTTGCGGTTTCTTCAGCGAAGTGCTTCGATAGCGGGGGAAACGGGAGCTAACTCAACGCTTAGTACACTTTTGGACATAAGCTTTTTGTTGTAATTTAATTTCATAAAAAAGAAGTAGACAGAGGAAGAGGAAAACACTAAAGAACTGGATGTTTTTTTCCCCATCAGAGCCAAATGCGTTCAGCGAGTCGTGAAAATTTCTCTACAGAGTCGTTCGCGATTTATGTGAGAACTATGTTAAATTAGCCAGCGAAGCGTAAGGCTCCTCTCTTCTCACACCATTATACTAGGGCTAACAAATCTGATAAATTTATCAAAGACCGGCAAAAACAATTTTGAGAAATTTTAAGGTGAGCAACATTGCATTATATCGAGGGTATGTGAACTAGATCTTTTTGGGTGAAACAAAGTTGAAAGGAGAATTGTACGTTTTGGTTGTCTTATTTGCATCTCCAATAATTTGACCTCAATCTTCATTTAAGAGAAAGCGTTCATGTTACCACAGTTTTTCAAGAATTTCGAAGATGAGGTCGCCTAACTTTGTGTGACATGGTATTCATTGTAATTAGGGATGCGTTTTAGATATTCGCTCCAATATTGTCTTTATCAACGTATGCAACGTGTTCGCTTCGAAATGAAAGTCAAAATATCTTTTCAAATTCAAGTCTTAAATCAAGGCAAAAAATTAACTTAATTTTCAATTCCTGTGAAAATCCGCCCAGTGCCAAGCGATGAGCGAGCCCAAGGGACCAATTCAATCAATTAGATCGAGTGAGCCAGAAACAATATCAAGTACGGAGGAAGCCGGTAGTCTACTCGATAGCCTACACCTACACATCTTCCATCTGCTGGAGGACCAGGCGGTCCAGCATCATCAGCTCAGTAGGGAAACATCGGAGGCACGCATGATCTTGGCCAGAGTTCGTCTGCAGGAGGGCAACCAACGAACGGCAGTTGAGGCCCAGCTGCCCCGATGCCGTCCCTACAAGGCACTTTGTCGGTTGGTCGAGGAAGCTCGTGCCTGGGGTACCATCGTCAATCTGAATCGATTGGCAGTCGAGCCCTGTCGGGGATATCTCCAACCGGTGACGAACATTTTCGGCGCCCTGGTTCCGATGAGCCTGCGAGTGGCGAGTCGAAAATGGGAACGCTGTGTGGATCAAATTGTGGACTGTGCCAACACCCAAAGAGAACTGCAGGCGTCTATATCCTCCATTAGGCAGCTTAGAAGGTCTCTCTATCCGAGCTATCCTCATAAATGAGCCGCCATGGAAGGCTAGGCGCTTAATTTCTAAGTAAAAAGTTCTGCACTTCTTTGAATGGAATCTAGAAAGAATTTGTAATAAATAGATGATTTTTTCCACATTCTTAAAGGTAATGGAAATACATAAATATGTACCAACTTATGTCGGTAAAATGTTCTTCACCACCAGTATATAACTGGTTAAATCATCCGCGTGTTTTGTTAAATTTCTATAATTGGATTTTGAAATAATTTATAATTGTCCCTTCAATAGGGATTTGGATTGGTGAGTGACTGGAGTTGGAAAGGAGTCATTATGAATAATTAGTAAACATAAATACATTCATATTATAAAGGAGTTCAATTACACTCTGCATCGAAGAAATTTTGAATTATGTGAATATGGCTAGATTTGCGATTAAAAATTACCGTTTTGCCCCACAGTTTCTCTCCCTCTTTAATTTGTTCGATAACCATCGCAATGCCGGACATCAATTATAGTCTAGTTAAAAATAAAATCAAATGCCAGAGCAGCCAGCATTGACGACATTGTCGACTTAGTGGCTAGTCCGTCCCCGACTGCCACTTCGCTCCCATCAGCTCCACTGCCGCCGCCCCTTTTCCCAATTATGCGGCATTTTCTTTGGCCCCTAGCCACAAACGAGTTTCTTTCCGCCGAGATATCTTTGTTTTGCTGTATTTCTGCGACATGCATCGGCAACTACAACAAAATACCAGAAATAACTTTAAAATCCATTAAACAACTGTAGGGGATGACGGCACTGTCGCCTGCCGCCCAAAGAGATAAAGATAAAAGTTTTGTCAACTTTGGCTCTCGGAAGGCAGAAGAAGGAGGTTGTCAAGTGATAACAATGTGTCAGTCGATAACAAGAGACAACGTCCTTGGCTTCAATTTTCGCTGTCTGCCACAGCATCAGCTTCAACTTAAACTCCGACGCTACTTAGCTCGAACTCCTAGTCCGACTTCGCTTATATTGATTTTTGCAAAACATTTGTGGATGAAAAAAGTGAAAGGCTACTCTGAAGGGTATCCATAACCTGTTTCCACAAACATTTATGCAGTTTTTTTTGTATTTCTTTGGCATTAAGAAAGCCAGCTTGAAGTTGATAGAGTTGTGTGGGTCCCAAAATACCTCCAGAAATGTCTGTCCGTCTGTCCGTCTCGTTTGTCGGCTATTTCTCAAACACTATAATAGCTAGAGCCACCAAATTTTGGCTCCAGACTGCTGTATGCTCACACTGAAACCAGTGTTCCGTAGGGAATGACCATATCTATTAGATCACCAAATTGGGATCCGATTGGATCATTATTATAGCCACAATGAATAAATTAATTTGCAGTGGCTAAACCCACCCTGACCCGCAGAGTATTTTTTTTTTGCACATGCTCTCATTCACACTCTGCTTCTGCCTTTTCCGTCCCTCTGCCTCTGCCGATTTTTAACCCACCCCGTTCCGCAGCTTATATTTGTTTTTATACGCGGTACTCGAAGAGTAAATAGGGTATATTGTATTTGTGGGAAATAACGGTTGTATGTAACGCACAGAAGGAAACGTTTCCGACCCCATAAAGTATATATATTCTTGATCAGCATCAATAGACGAGTCGATAGAGCCATGTCTGTCAGTCCATCCGTCCGTCTTGTTTGTCGGCTAGTTCTCAGATACTATAAGAGCTAGAGCCACCAAATTTTGGCTCCAGACTGCTGTATGCACACACTGAAACCAGTGTATTTAAAACCTATAGTTTTGAAGATAAAAGAAAACTTAAAACGCCATTCCGGAGGGAATGACCATATCTATCAGATCACCAAATTGGGATCCGATTGGATCATTATTATGGCCACAATGAAGAAATTATTTCCAGTGGCTAAACCCACCCTCTCCCGCAGCTTTTGTTGTTTTTTCACATTCTCTCATTCACACTCTGCTTCGCACAGACACGTCTCTGCCTCTGCCGCGTATCTGCCCTGAATCTGCAGTTTGTGGCTCTAGAAGAGGATGGTTGTTGATGTAGATGTCAGATGAAGAACAAATGTAAATCATGACAAATAACCGCTAAGGTGCAGATGTAGTACTGAGTGCCGGGTATAAAAGTTGTGACGCGTAAGAAGCGTCTCACACGTCCCTTCTCGATTTTTTTGTGTGCGGGCGCTGCCTCTGCCTCTGCCGTGAGTTTTAAGTGTGTGGGTCTAGGGAAGGGGGCGAGCTAACGGAGCGTGGCAAATAACCGCTAAAGTACAGATGTAGAACTGAGTGCCGGGTATAAAAGTTGTGACGCGTAAGAAGCGTCTCACAAGTCCCTTCTCGTTCTAACAAGAATGTGATTTATTTGTTGCCTTATTAATAAATACAATAACATGAGTCTCTAGTATTGACTGCTATCCAATCCAAATAACGAGAGACGCGAGTGTAGACTCCGGGAGCATCGGGCTTGGCACAGCCATAGCCGAAGGACACCACTCCAGCCAGACGGAAGATGCGATCCCTGACGATCAGTGGACCACCGCTGTCACCCTGCAAATAGGAAATTGAATCATGGTAGGAGTCATCAATACGGATGATTATGGTGAGAGCCGAGAGCATAAGCCTGAGAACCAACCTGACAAGCATCGCGACCTCCAGTGCGCACATAGCCAGCACAGAGCATGGTGTCCACAATCATGGACCTGTAGGAAGTGGCCCGGCACTGAGCATTGGTGATGATAGGGACGACCACCTCCTGCAGTACACTCGATGTGGCGCCACCCTCTTCACTCAGACCCCATCCCGCCACTATGGCCTTCTGGAACTCAAAGTTCTGCAGCCAATGGGTGGGAAGGCAGACCGGCCGTATTGTATCAACCAGCGGAATGGGCTGATCCAGTCGCAGCAGAGCAATGTCATGCACAAGGCTGACAGGATCGTATCCAGAATGGGCATGTGCAAAGGCCACCGAGCGCGTCACACCTAAATGGTTCGAGCTTCTGTCCAACTGAAGGAGACGCACGGACACGCCCCGCATCTCCATGCCATGGACACAGTGAGCAGCGGTCAGGACATAGCGATCATTGATCAATGTTCCGCCACAGAAGAGAAGAGTTCCGCGTATAATTTGGGCAATCCATGGGTACTTGTTGGTCCGCACCTGGGTGCCGCCCACAATTCGATTGACGTTGGGCACGCCGCAGGCTAGAAGAGGATTTGGTCTGGTCTAGAGAAAAGAAAAAGGGTCTGTGATAGGAGCCGGCTGTACCAGGGAATGAAGTTGGACATTTCTGATGAAGGATGCATATACTAAAATCGGAACACTCCCGTGTCAGCATTAATCAATAAGGAAAAGCTGTGCATCAAAGCGTATCCAATAAGCCAATTAACCGATTCAAACTCGAAATTACAATGCTTATCCAACCGCTGGAATCGATTCATTCCCCGGCGCATTTCGCCGATTCAGTCTCTGGCTCTACTCACTGCAGCTGGCACATCGATTGACGCGGAACGCCTTTGCACCGCCGCCCTCCAAGGACGAGAAGGAGCCTGAGGTGGTGGAAAACGATGAGGAGGCTGAATCCAACGGAGTCTCACTGGCCCCGCCCAAGACACTAGATAAGATTTGCTGCTTTTGGCCCTCAATCAGATCATCAATGAAATCCGATTGCACTCCAGGCGGTAGGCCGGAATCCGGAGTCGTAGTCGAACTGCCATTGACTGGCAGAGCTTGCAGTCTTTCTGGTTTGGTATAGAAATAACCGCGAGGAGGTGCTTTATAATTATAGACAGCAGAGCTCCAGTTTAAGCCAATACCCAGACACAAAGCGAACAGAAAGGTTTGCGGATTGAATTTCATATTTTCGTCTTGCCGGATTAGAATCGAATTGAACCGAACCGAACGAAACGCGCAACAGAGCCGGACTGATGAGAAGAGTTCCCTTTTAAACTGCTCTTATAGTCCACTCGATCGATCTTCGAGCATTTATATATATGTACCCATTAAAAACTTAATGAAGAACTAAAACTGTCCATCAAAATATTTTATCAGACAAGCTCCTTTGCATATTCATTAAACTCACTTCAACCGATCATGTCTTCGCCGACAAGCCCTTTATCATTACGTGACCTAGTTCAAGATTTATAAGAGGAACCCCAGAGCTCATTTGTCAATATATCAAGAAAATACTCGATTCATTTCAGCATTCTACCATCTTTTCTTGTTTTGCGAACAAATAGAAAACAAGCGAGCTTTGAAGAGTACAATCTTTTGTGTCCGCCAGCATTTTATGTTTCTTGTATTTGCATTTTGCTTGCGCGGCTTTCTTTTTCTAGCGAAAGAGCCTGGTGCTATTACAGCACTACCTTTTTCGAAGCGAAAATTTCAAAAACGATTTAAAGTTTTGTTCTTGCTTATGACCCATAATGGAGTTTATTGGCAAAACACATTGGCAATTATTTAGTACTACAGCAAAACAATTAACGATAGCAAACATAATAAATGCTGATGTCTGTCTGATAAGCTCACAATTCAGGCAACGTTATCATCGAATTTTTAGCTAGGGGTTACAAAAACCGAGAAGGGACGTGTCAGACGCTCCTTACGCGTCACAACTTTTATACCCGGTACGCAGTAGGACATCTGTACCTTAGTGGTTTTTATACCCGGTACTCAAAGAGTAAATAGGGTATATTGTATTTGTACGAATAACGGTTGTATGTAACGCACAGAAGGAAGCGTTTCCGACCCATAAAGTATATATATTCTAGATCAGCATCAATAGCCGAGTCGATAGAGCCATGTCCGTCTGTCCGTCTTATTTGTCGGCTCGTTCTCAGAGACTATAAGAGCTAGAGCCACCAAATTTTGCATCCAGACTGCTATATGCTCACACTGAAACCAGTGTATTTCAAAAATATGCCACGCCCCCTTCCGCCCCCGCAAAAGGGCGAAAACCTCCAAAACCTACAGTTTTGAAGACAAAAGAAAACTAAAAACGCCATTCCGTAGGGAATGACCAAATATATCAGATCACCAAATTGGGATCCGATTGGATCATTATTATTGCCACAATGGAGAAATTAATTAATTAATTTCCAGTGGCTAAACCCACCCTGTCCCGCAGCTTTTGTTGTTCTTTTTACATTCTCTCATTCACACTCTGCTTC